TATTCAATTTTTGTTAATTTCTTCTTTTTATTTCTCTGTTTTGCTTTAATTTTTTATAGTGATTATATATATATATATATATATATATTTTTTTTTTTAATGTTTATTTTTGAGAGAGAGAGACAGAACGCCAGCTGGGGAAGGGAAGAGAGAGACGGATACACAGAATCCCAAGCAGGCTCCAAGGAGCTTGAACTCCCAGACTGTGAGATTGTGACCTGAAGTCCGACATTTAACTGGCTGAATCATCCAGGCACCCCTGTGACCGTTTATATTTTTAAAATAAACTTTATTTTAGGAGCATCTGGGTGGCTCAGTTGGTTAAGCGTCTGACTCTTGGTTTCAGCCCAGGTCATCTCATGATCTCACACTTTGTAAGTTTCAGCCCCACATCAGGCTTTGCACTGACCATGCAGAGCCTGCTTGAGTTTCTCTCTCTCTCTCTCTCTCTCTCTCTCTCTTTCTGCCCCTCCCCCACTCTCTGTCTATCTCAGAAACAAAAAACTATAAAAAAATTAAAGGGGCGTCTGAGTGGCTCAGTCAGTTAAGCGTCTGACTTCAGCTCAGGTCATGATCTCACTGTTTGTGAGTTCAAGCTCCACATCAGGCTCTGTACTGACAGCTCAGAGCCTGGAACCTGCTTCAGATTCTGTGTCTCCTTCTCTCTCTGCCCCTCTGCCATTCACATTCTGTCTGTCTCTCTCAAAAAAATAAACATCAAGAAAAAATTTTTTTAATAATAAATAAAAATTTTTTTAAAAATAAACATTATTTTAGAAGTAAAACAACCAGCTTGGCCATATCCTGAACAATAATATCTCTGAAATCACCAGTTTAATGCACTCTTTTATTTTTATAGTTTTTATAGTACACAGTTCAATAAATTATTAAAATTTAATGTAGGGGCGCCTGATTGGCTTAGTCGGTTAAGCGTCCGACTTTCGCTTAGGTCATGATCTCGCGGTTCGTGGGTTCGAGCCCCACGTCGGGCTCTGTGCTGACTGCCAGCTCAGAGCCTGGAGCCTGTTTCAGTCTGTGACTCCCTCTCTCTCTGACCCTTCCCAGCTCACGCTGTCTCTCTCCTAGAAATAAATAAAAAAACAAAATGTTAAAAAATAAATAAATAAATAAAAATAAAATAAAATTTAATGTAATCTAAAAATCAGTCCAGGTACTTACCATCAATAATGTATATATATCACACTTAGGAAATATCATACTGTATATTATGCCCATTTATATTATGATAGTTCTACATATTAAAGATATTTTTCCTTGATCTGTTGAATATTTGCACATATTTTTCTCAGCTTTTCATTTTCCTTTAACTTTGTGATTTTTTTTTGCATTTTTGTTTTTCTTCTATTGGTCTACCTGACATTTTTTTCTACCTAACATAAACTGTTTATTTTTTTTAGTGTTTTCTTTTTCAGTACAGCTTTTTATTTCTTTAATATTCTTTTTTCCAGTATAGCTGACACCGTTCCATTAGTTTCAAGTGTACAATATAGTAACTCAACATCTGTATACATTATGCTTATGTTCACCACAGCTATACATCTGTCACCGTACAACACTATTACAATACCATTCACTATATTCCCTCTGCTATACTTTTTATCCCTGTAACTTTTTCATTCCATAAGTAGAAGTCCGTGTCTCCCACTCTCCTTCACTTATTTTGTCCATTCCCTCCCCCACACACACACACACACACACAACCACTTTATTCTCAGTATTTATGGGTCTGATTCTGCTTTTTAAATTGTTAATAATTTTTGTTTTGTATCATGCTTTATTTTTTTTTTATATTTTTATTTATTTCTAGGAGAGAGAGAGACAGCGTGAGCAGGGGAGGGTCAGAGAGAGAGGGAGACACAGAATCTGAAGCAGGCTCCAGGCTCTGAGCTGGCAGTCAGCACAGAGCCCGACGCGGGGCTCGAACCCACGAACTGCGAGATCATGACCTAAGTGAAAGTCGGACGCTCAACCGACTAAGCCACCCAGGCTCCCCTTGTATCATGCTTTAGGCAGTCCTTAGCTATCTCAAAATCCTATATTTACTCATATTATTTTTCAAATTTTTTGGTTCATTACTAGTTTTAAATTTTAATGTGAAATGTGAACAAAATTGTTTTTATTTCCCCAAAATATTGTCCCAACTCACCCTTTACTAACTTATTTGAAATTCTACTTTTATCATTTATTACAATCTTGTATCTGCTTAGGTGTGTTTGTGTACTTGCCTTCTCTCCCAGGGATCGCTGTTTCTATGGTAGCACCAAACTCTTTAGTTAATGTAACTTTAGAATATGTGTAATATCTATTTAGGCAAGACCACTTTCACTTCTCTTTTCCAAACTATTGTTCACATTCTCAAGTACTTATTCTTTTAGATGAATTTCAGAGTTATTGAGTCAGTTTTTCATATAGTTCTGTAAGGAAATTTGATTAAGACTATGTTAAATATACATATATATATATACATATGTGTGTTTATATATATGTATATATATATGTGTGTGTATATATATATATGTGTGTGTGTGTATATATATATGTTAAAAGGAGAAAAGTGTCTTTGAATATTCCTTATGGTATATGTAGTATTCACTATGGTAAAGGATAGTTGTTTGATAGTCTCACTGACTAGCCTGGAAATTCATTCACTACAGACCATCTTAATGTTAATAGTCTTTATATTCTCAGTGCCCTGTATTCACAATCTTGCATGAGTAATGACTGAATATGCGTATGTTGGAAGGTATGTGGATAAAGAATGGCTATTATAAAAAATTCGCTTGCATTTTGACTCAGATGTTTTAGACAAATGGAAAATATTCCCAGCTGTGGAACATTGAAAAACATGAGGATTAATGCAATAAGAACTTTTATCACCATAAAACCAGTATGAAAGTATACTAGTAAACTGTTCTTTGTTTTTGGAAATTTAATTCTCATAAGAGTTCTTATAAAATTTTCATAAAAGTGTTTATGCTGATAGAGTTGTGAATGGCATGGATTAATTAAAAGCTATTAATTTTCAAATGACTAATCAATTACCAGTTTCATTAAACTTTGGTACATAAAATGACCAGCTTATTCAGATTTTTTAATATAGCTACACAATTTGGTAAGATTTCAAAATGAATCTCTTAAAATATCATCTATTCTTTCAAAAACTGTGACCATTATTCTACCTTAACAATAAAAAAAAAATGAGTACTAAATAAAGAACAACACAATTATTATGAGAAAAGGCCACATTGTCTATTTTTATAAATGTGACATATCTACCAGATACATGTTTTTTTTTTTTAATTTCTGAGAGAGAGCGATACAGTGTGAACAGGGGAGGGTTAGAGAGGGAGATACAGAATCTGAAGCAGGCTCCAGGCTCTGAGCTGTCAGCACAGAGCCCAACATGGGGCTCGAACCCCCGAACTGTGAGATCATGACCTGAGCCGAAGTTAGATGCTTAACAGACTGAGCCACCCAGGCACCCCAGTCTGCCAGATACATGATAAACAAAAACAATTGAACTTATTTGATAAAAAATAAAATTCAGTTTATAAGGAATGATGATTCAGCATTTTTACTTTGGGGAATTATGGGGAAGAAATGGGAATTAGGTTTAACAAATGATTTATGCAGTCTTTGAAAAGATAATATTTAAATTTCTTTAAAGATAACATTTAAATTTCTTAGTAAAGTAAAATTTAAGCAAATTTGGGATTAAATTAATGGAAGTATCTGTTTAAATGAGCTAAGATTCATAAAGCACCAATACTTGTAAAACGTTGCCTAACACATAGTATAAGGCAATTCAGTCTGTCCGTCAGGTGGACTCTACTAATTTATAAACTAGCTCCTGTGTTAAAGTTATACTGGATAATTAAGCCTTTATTTTGGCATTGTGTACATGAATTACCAAATCTTTCTCAATACTTTTTGTATTCACTGTGCTGGGAAGACTCCCAAAGAGAAAGAAAACATGACGCCTGCACTTAGTCCAGTTAAAGAACAGGGAAATGAGATTTGAGTGTTATAATAAAAATGTTTCATTTATGTACCTGGTGTATGATGATTGAGGGAATTAGATAAATGATAAAATATTTACATTTCTTATATTTTAGTACCTCAGTGCTCTGTATTATAGTCTCCTATTGTTTTTCTCAATGTGCAAATCAAGGCAGAAGTTAAGGAACTTCAGCATTATAGGTAATAATTCTCTTTTTTTTTTAAGCTGTGTGAAGGGTTCATTAAAGTTTATTATTTTGCTTTTATAACTTTCATACATTATATGTTATGTACATACCAACTATTTATAATAAAAATTATTTAAGAAATGGGGGGTCGGCGCCTGGGTGGCTCAGTCTGTTAAGCATCTGACTTCAGCTCAGGCCATGATCTCACGGTTCATGGGTTCGAGCCTCACATCGGGCTCTGTGCTGACAGCTAGCTCAGAGCCTGGAGCCTGTTTCAGATTCTGTATCTCCCTCTCTCTCTGACCCTCCCCTGCTCATGCTGTCTCTCTCTCAGAAATAAAGTTTTTAATTTTTTTTAAAACAAAGAAGAAAGAAATGGGGGGGATGCTGTTCCCCAAAATACTAAAACTAATTTATTTATGTATTCTTTATTGTAAAATTGTTACACTTGTCCATACAAATATTTTCCATTATAACAATTTATTATAAAAGGAACATTTTTATCATGTAAAAATAAACATTAACTTCAGAGTCAAAAACTGATTAGTACACTTATAAAAATGAAAAATGAAAAAATAAGTATAACAAAGTACTCATTAGTTTGCATCTCCTTAGGATGGTGATCATTACTATATAAGCTGTTTCTGATAAATTTGAATTATGTTATCTTTTCTGAATACACATACTTAAATTTTGATACTTAACAAAACATATTTTAAATCATTAGTTGTAATTGTACTGCTAAGTGTAATTTACGTAGTATAAAGAATTAGTACTTTTTCTTCTTGGAAGAGTCAGAATGGATCATCAGCACACCACTGTGGCCTTGCGATAGGCTGGATGTACTCAATCGACATAACCTGCTCTGCACAATTGCACATGAAATCTTAGCCAAGAGCCTTTACAGACAGACATTTGAAGTTCTGCAAAATCTACCAGGTTTTCAAAATTCTCAAGGTATGTTTTCTAAAAGTCTCAATCTCATGTCCATCTGATGTTTAAGAAACCATTCTCCACCTGTTTTGGTTGAGTTTTATATTCCAGCATACATTTTTAATGAAATTGTTTTCTGTAAAATGTATTCTCTGCAAATTCAATGTTTTTCTTCTTTCCCTCCTTCCTTCCCTCCCTCCCTCCCTCTCTCTCTTTTTCTCTCTTTCTCTCTTCCTTTCCTTTCCTTTTTCCTTTTTCCTTTCCTTTCCTTTCCTTCCAAAAGCAGAGATGCTTACCTTTGGATTGTCAGCAGTTCCTAACTGTTTTCGTCAGTCCCCTTTCCCTCCCTATCAGGTTAGCAGCAAACAGTAATGCCCCAGCAAGCTTTGTGTCAGTAAATAATTCACTGCATTAGAATAATGAAGAGTGCTTTTTCTTTTTTCCCTAACATTAAATACAGAGCTTAGTTTCCATTACCTTGGAATGTAGGGAAATATGAAATAAATGGAGGAAATTAGTAAATGACAAGTTCAATGAAAGGGAATATTAATGTGGGACAATAATAGGTAGTGTTCTCAAATCCTGACACTCAAGTTCTATAGAGACCAGAGGGAGTCCGTGTTAAGAGAAACATGAGCAAAAGATTTGGATCAAAATGAGCTGAGTAATGGGTTCAGAGTGGCAAGTTACACTTCATGAGAGTGTTAACCTGAGGGCTTTCCACAGTTCTTTATCAGTCAGAGTACCTGTTACAGGAAAGTTCCGTTGGTGGAGATGTTTAGGAAGAGACCTAAAGGTAAGGAGATTAACTTCTTGCTCAGGCCTGGATCACTAAAGGAACCTATAGATGAAATGTTAAAGACGAGAGTTTAGGTCATAGATTGAACTGACTCAATATAGGGAATAAAAGATTTCAGTCTCCAAGGTGACTTCACTTTCTTCTAAGGGAGAAATTGAAAGAACTATAAATATCCAATAAAAGATTTGTTTTTAATTTAAGAGAGAATATTATGAGGCGGTGGTTTATTTTTAGTCATGGAAAATTAAGTCTGTAGTCTGAACTGTAGACAGTGCAAACAGAGCTGTGCAAGTCATTTGTTTGAGACATAGCAGATGCAGTCACATGTGGAATCACAGACAGTGGTGTTAATGCAGCCTCTGCAATAGTTGTCCAGCTTCCTTTTTTTTTTTTTTAGTATAATTTATTGTCAAGTTAGCTAACATACAGTATGCTCTTGGCTTCAGGAGTAGATTCCTGTGATTCATTATTTCCATACAACACCCAGTGCTCATCCCAACAAGGGCCCTCCTCAGCGCCCATCACCCATTTTCCCCTCTCCCCCGTCCCATCAACCCTAAGTTTGTTTTCTGTATTTAGGAGTCTCTTCTGCTTTGCCTCTCTCTGTTTGTAACTATTTTTTTCCCTTCCCTTCCCCCACGGCCTCTTTTAAGTGTCTCAAATTCCAGATATGAGTGAAAATATATGAATATGATCTCTGTCTTTCTCTGACTGACTTATTTCACTTAGCATAATACCCTCTGGTTCCGTCCACATTGTTGCAAATGGCGTCAGGCTTCCTTTCTTATTCTTTGTTACAAGGTAAACAAATGAATTTGTTTTTGTTGAATGCTTGTTTGTTTCTTAGAGACTATACAAGATGATTACTTTTTAGTGACTGTGACTCCAGTAGTGGGTAGGAAAGTGCCAAGAGTACTACAAAAGTAGTGAGAGAGGGTAGATTGATTTCATTTTATCATTTTATCTATTTATCTATTTTTTTTCCAGAAACTGTGGAGGTCTCACAGTACAGCCTTCTTTTTAATAAACTTCTAGATGCCTGTATTGAAAGCAATAGTCTTGGTATATCATCCTCTGTAGCAGAATTCATGACTTCAAAGAACATCCCTATTGATTTCTCCTTTCTTAGAAGATTAATTACTTCTTTAGGAAGGAGCTGTTTATGGCTCAAAGCCAGAGCCCACTACAAAAGTAAGTTACATTTTAAAATTTTATATTTGATATATTGGTTTTGACTTTGCTTTTCTAACCATGAATCCTTGTATAATATCTATGACTAGGCATTTAAATATGTAAAAAGAGCAGCTGATACACATTCAAAGATAATGGTGCACACAAATTTGTTCTCTCTTTTGAAACCCTTCTTTCTCATTTCTAATTACTATATCTTTATGTCTTTGCACGTCAGTATGCCCCCTGGAGGGTGCACAAAGGAAATAGATGAAAGAATTTGAACCAGTTTGGCATAGCTTATAAATATATAGGAGTAGAACAGTAGGAATATTTATATATTCATCCCTGCTATATCCTTGATCTTTATAATTTATAAGTTATAATATTTTAGGGGCACTTGGGTGACTGGGTTGAGCGTCCGACTTTAGCTCAGGTCATGATCTTGTTGGTGAGTTCAAGCGCCATGTCGGGTTCTGTGCTGACGGCTCAGAGCTTGGAGCCTGCTTCACATTCTTTGCCTTCCTCTCTCCCTACCCACCCTCCCCACTCACACACATATTCTCTCTCTCAAAATAAACAAGCATTAGAATATTTTATACCAGGCCACATAGGAAGTACAGAGGCTGCCATTACAATGAACATGACACAGGTTTTTCACCTGGTTCCTAGTAACAGGAATCTATTATAGTTAATCTGTTTACAGTTGTTTCTCTCTAACCAGTAAGCCTGGAAAACCAGTGCTTTCTCTAATCCCAGCCACCTCATAGGTATTTGAACTGGAAAGTAATTTCATGTAGAATCTAGATCCAGAAAACAGTTCTGCCTTCCTGCAGTAATTTGTCCCAAATTCACACTTCTCTCACTGTCATGTATATAACAAACTTACGAGTGCCTACTATGTGTCACCACTGTTCCAGATGTGCCAAACATCCCAGCCACCCCTACCAGCACAAAACCTCTCTGAACTCGGAGTACTTTTCACACTACCAACTATGATCAGTTTAGCAGGTGGTAACTTTTCTCCAATGGTATAGGAAAGAAAACATTAGCATGCATCACAGGTGGTAAGATTAGTATTATTTGGTAAAATTTTCATTTCAGTTACATATATACATGTATGTGTACCAGGTCAATATGTAAAATGTATCCCTTATTGTAGGTTACAATCAAAAGAAGTTTTGAAAACAGAGGTTTTTTTTTAGGGGCACCTGACTCTTGATTTCAGCTTGGGTCGTCCGTCATCTTATGGTTCATGGGACCAAGCCCCATGTTGGGCTCTGTGCTGACAGCATGGAGCCTGCTTGCTCTCCTCTC